TGTAAGTGAGGTATTAAAGTCCCCTACTATTATTGTGTTACTGTCGATTTCCTCTTTTATAGCTGTTAGCATTTGCCTTATGTATTGAGGTGCTCCTATGTTGGGTGCATATATATTTATAATTGTTATATCTTCTTCTTGGATTGATCCCTTGATCATTATATAGTGTCCTTCCTGTCTCTTGTAACATTCTTTATTTTAAAGTCTATTTTATCTGATATGAGTATTGCTACCCCAGCTTTCTTTTGATTTCCATTTGCATGGAATATCTTTTTCCATCCCCTCACTTTCAGTCTGTGTGTGTCCCTAGGTCTGAAATGGGTCTCTTGTAGTCAGCATATATATGAGTCTTGTTTTGGTATCCATTCAGTGAGCCTGTGTCTTTTGGTTGGAGCATTTAATCCATTCACGTTTAAGGTAATTATAGATATGTATGATCCTATTAACATTTTCTTAATTGTTTTGGGTTTGTTTTTGTAGGTCCTTTTCTTCTCTTGTGTTTCCCACTTAGAGAAGTTCCTTTAGTGTTTGTTGTAGAGCTGGTTTGGTGGAGGTGAATTCTCTCAGCTTTTGCTTGTCTGTAAAGCTTTTGATTTTTCTGTCAAATCTGAATGAGATCCTTGCCGGGTAGAGTAAGCTTGGTTGTAGGTTCTTCCCTTTCATGACTTTAAATATATCGTGCCACTCCCTTCTGGCCTGTAGAGTTTCTGCTGAGAAATCACCTGTTAAGCTTATGGGAGTTCCCTTGTATGTTATTTGTTGTTTTTCCCTTGTTGCTTTCAATAATTTTTCCTTGTCTTTAATTTTTGCCAATTTGATTACTATGTGTCTGGGCATATTTCTCCTTGGGTTTATCCTGTATGGTACTCTCTGTGCTTCCTGGACTTGGGTGGCTATTTCCTTTCCTATGTCAGGGAAGTTTTCAACTATAATCTCTTCAAATATTTTCTCTGGTCCTTTCTCTCTCCCTTATCCTTCTGAGACCCCTATAATGCGAATGTTGTTGTATTTAATGTTGTCCCAGAGGTTTCTTAGGCTGTCTTCATTTTCATTCTTTTTTCTTTATTTTGTTCCATGGCAGTGAATTCTACCATTTTCTCTTCCAGGTCACTTATCCGTTCTTCTGCCTCAGTTATTCTATTATTGATTCCTTCTAGTGTATTTTTCATTTCAGTTATTGTACTGTTCATCTCTGTTTGTTTGTTCTTTAATTCTTCTAGGTCTTTGTTAAACATTTCTTGCATCTTTTCAATCTTTGCCTCCATTCTTTTTCCAAGGTCCTTGATCATCTTCACTATCATTATTCTGAATTCTTTTTCTGAAAGGTTGTCTATCTCCACTTCATTTAGTTGTTTTTCTGGGGTTTTATTCTTGTTTCTTCATCTGGTACATAGTCCTCTGCCTTTTCATCTTGTCTGTCTTTCTGTGAATGTGGTTTTTGTTCCACAGGCTGCACAATTGTAGTTCTTCTTGCTCCTGCCATCTGCCCTTTCCTCATGCCTTTGTTAAATCATCCTCCAAACTCCAGAACTCCATACTCCAGAGGCCTTCCTTTCCACATGCTGCCTCTCCCATTCTGTGCAGGCCCTCTCCAATCACTCTTGATGTTTCTATTTGTCCCACCTTCCTGACCTTTCGTGGATGATGGAAAATGTATTTGTACAGCATCAGATCACATAAGTAGAGACCCTCCAATTGATATTTGTCCCATTGTCACAACTCTCTGAACAAGCCAGAAATAAATCATTAGATCTTTTGGTGCCTCTGAGTTCATCATAAAAGTAGGAGAGTGGAGGTGGGAGTTGGGGGAGATATATTGAGAATAGTGACAGAGAGAGAGAGAGAGAGAGATAAATGAAGACTGAGAACCAGTTTGGCCTGAACTTCAAATCCGTTGAAAATATGGTGAACATGCTCCAAACCATTGGATTGGTTGAGCCCAGGCACAGTACTCCCAAACTTGGTGTAAGACAGAAATCCCCAAACAACAGAAATTTGTTCTCCACTGTTCTGGAGGCTAGAAATCCAAAATCAACGTGTTGGCAGGGCCACACTCCCTCTGAAGGCTGTAGGGGAGAATCCATTCTTGCCTCTTCTAGCTTCTGATGGGTCCTGTGTTACTTGGTTTGTGGCTGCATTACTCTAGTCTCTGCTTCTGTCTTCATATGGTCTTCTTACCTGTGTGTCCCTGTGTCTTCTTTTCTGTCATAAGGACACTGTCATAGGATTTAGGGCTAATCCTAATCCAGGATGATCTCATCTCAAGATCTGTAACTTAATGAAAGATATAAATAGTAGCCTCATTGAGGGTGTACTACATGCCAGGCACTGTACACATATTTTCCCTGTTTCTCACAAGACTGCAGCCCTGCAGTCAGTTCTGCAAAGTGGGTGTTATTAGTCCCACTTTACAGATGGGAAAACCAAGGCTCAGAAAAGTTGCTCAAAGTTTTAGAGATAGAAACTAACAGATCTGACCAGGTTTAGACAGCATACCCCTCGATTGTCACATCCTTGTTGCCAATTCCATTCATTCATTCATTCCACAAACATTTATTGAATGCCTACTGCATGTGACAGCCATTCTAGGTGCTGAAGATACCTAGAACAAAGGACAAAACAAAAATCTCTGTTTGCTCAAAGTTGAAATTCTAATGGGAGATACAGACAGGAAGCAGATATGTAAAATATGTAGTATTTTAAGTGGTGACATAGCTATGGAAAAATTATAAAGCAATATATGTACCTTGTCAAACATATCAACTGTAACAAGACATCTTTGAGATAACCGGGAGATTTGAATATATACTGGTATATGATAATGTTAGTTTCTTAGATTTGATAATGGCATGGTAGCAGTGTTTCTAAAATACATTTATTTAAAGATGCAGACTGAAGTGTTTATGTATAAACTAAGATTGCAAAAATGTTGCAAATTATTGATATTGGATGATAGATACATGAGGAAGATACTTTAAAAATTTTTTGTATGTTTAAAAAATTTCCATGATACATAGTTTGGAATAGGGGTGGCAGATAAGACATGCAATGGGTTTTGTAAGACCAAATAGGTAAATCAGGGAGGGTCGCACTGAGAAGGTGACATTGGAGCAAAGACTTGAATGAGGTTGGGGAGGAAACCATATGGATCTCTGAGAATGGTCCAGGCAGAAGTAGGAGTTAGTACAGAGCCCTGAGGAAAGAGAGAAAGAGAGAAAGAGTGTGGAAAGAGAAATGTACTCCAAAGAAACTGGGCAGAACTGTGAATAAGAAATCAAACTATGATACCTGCTAGTTTCCCTTCAGCTTTAGAGTTATTAATAATGTTCTTTACTGTGTCTTATGCAACAGAACATTTCAGACAGTATCATAATGCCAATTAAGTTGTGACATTATTTTGAGCTGAATCATTCAGGTTTTAAAGGATATTGAATATTTTAAGTGTAGACATTATGAGGTTTTCAAAAGCCAGAAATGATCACACCTTTCCAAACTAGAAAAGGCCACTGAAGCATACTACAGGTTTCCATTTCTAATAAGGTAATGTCACTTGCTATAACCCATACAAAAAGCTCTCTGAGGCCCTTAATATTTTTTTTTAAAGAGTAAGGGGGTTTTGAGATCAAAAAGTGAGAAAATCACAATGGATTATCCCCAGCCTTGTTGGTAGATTCATTTCTTCCCATGACCTCATGCAAAACTATTGCTTTGGAGTTCCTAGCACTTATCCAAGTCCCTGGCTGGGCCTAAATTGTCAGTCCTTCTGGCTCAGGAAGCTGCTTTTCAGTTACCTGAGAGACTTTGACCAAAGGTACCCTGTTTCCTCCTTGGCATTTTTGTGTATTTCATTTGTTACTTTCTTTTTCTCACTTTTTTCTTTTTCTCATTTTTACTTTTTATTCTCTTTTTTTCTTTATTCTTTTTATCACTCCTTTTTCAGTTTTTCTTATTAGTTTAGTTTATTTTCATTTTTGTCTGGCATTGTGTTTTGATTCAGTCATAAAGACCAGTTCATGGGGTGAACTTTGAACTGGTTTTCTTTTGATTTGGACCAAGCTTCTCACCAGCTCTTCCCAGATGTAAGCCGACGTTAGGACGCCTCGACTCCAAGCACAGCAGTGAGTCCAGCATGCTGCGGGGCCTCTAAGCTGTCTCTGCTGAGGAGAGACCCAGATTCACATGGTGTCCTCTAGACCCTCGAGACAGTTGGCAAGGAAGACTGGGCTACGGTGAAGTTGGCCGGCACATCCTAGATGGGAAAGCGAGAGCCGTGAAGATCATTGATGAGACTCAGCGGAACTCCTCCAGCCTCCGGAGACTGTCCCGCAAAGCAGGAATCATGAAGGTTTGGAGCATCTCAACATAGTGAAGTATTTGAAGTGATGGAGGCTGAGGAAACTCTCCGCCTTTGCGGAGAGGAGGACGCTAGTGGAGGAGAGGTGTTTGAGCACCTCGTGGCTCATGGCAGTAGGAAAGCAAAGCAGCTGAGAGCAGAGTCCACCAGGATGGCATTGTCCACAGAGATTTAAAGGCAGAAAACCTGCTCTTGGATGCGAACATCACACTTCGGCTTCAGCAACAAATGCGCCTTTTACAACAAGCTGGACACCTTCTGGGGTGGGCCCCCTCATGCTGCCCGGAACTCTTCCAGGGAAGAACCACAGGAAGTCACCCTGTCTACACTGGCCGATGGATTCCTGCCTCTTGATGGACAGAGCTTCAAGGACTGCCAGAGGGGTACTAGGACAGAATATATTATATTCTCTTCTGAATGTTTATGGAATGAAAATCTGTTTAAGAAATCCCTGATTCTCAGTAAGAAGTAAGAGCAATTCATGAAGGATCCGTGGATTACTGTGAGTCATGGATATGAGGAACTAAAGCTCTACATGGAGCTGCTCTCTGACTACCAGAAACCCCCAGCAGACTGAATTCATGGCATCCATGGTTACACGTGGAGACAGAGATCCAGGACTCACTGACAGGCCGGAAAGACAAGGTAATGTTCCAATATCTGCTCCTGGGTTATAAGAGATCTGAGCCAGAGGGCTACCGGGTCACCCTGAAGCCTCAGCCTTCAGCGGATCTAAGCGCAGCACTCCTTCCCCGCCCGCAGGAACGGCACAGGGTCCCCGCCAGCCGCAAGCAGCACATTCCCACCTCTAACTGCTGCTCTGAGAACACTCCGCCGGGGAGGAACGCAGATGTGGAGGAGGATCAGGGTGCAGGGCGGAGGCCACAGCACAGCACGAGCGGCAGGGGAAGAAGACCGCCGCTGCCGCCCACCTCCAGCGCCCTCTCCACCGGCACAAATCAGAGCAGGAATCCCCCGCGCTGGGAGAGGGCCAGCCTCGGCCAGGCCTCCGTGCGGAACGGCCACGGCAGCCTAACCGTGCGGGTCCGGGGCCCCCTTGGCTTCGGCTTCGGCCACAGTCTAACTCGGCCCCGCCTGCACCAGGAATCCAAGTGCAGCCCACGGGGGCCTCCGGGCCCCGCCCCGCGGAGAGTACCTGTGAGGAGCCCAAGCCCAGCACAGCCCCCACCTGTCCCCGAGTCTACCCGTCTACCTGCAGTGTCAGTAGGGAGTGGAGCCCCGGCTCTGTCCAAAGGAAACTTCGCCCACAGGGGCAGCCCGACAGGTGCCAGACCCAGACGTTCTGCCCTGAGGTGAGACCCCAGCCTCCGCCAGCGGCAAAAGCCACGATCGCCTCCACCGGGAGCTTCTTCAGGAAGTTCAAGTCCAAATCGACAGGAAGAAATCGAGGTTTGCCGGAGGAACCTGAATGAACCTGAAAGCCAAGACAGAGGGATGACACTCCTCACTCACGTGGTGAGCAGCCGAGGCAGAGATAAAACGTGAGCCGCGCTCACTACACTTGAGATGGACGATGGAGACCACGAGCTTCGTGGAGCGGGAGGAGAGGATGCGGGGGCAGGAGAGGATGCGGGGACAGGAGAGGATGAGGCGGCAGGAGACGATGCGGGGGCAGGAGAGGATGCAGGGGCAGGAGAGGGTGCGGAGGCAGGAGACGATGCGGGGGCAGGAGATGTTGCGGGGGCAGGAGAGGATGCGGGGCAAGGCGATGCTCCACGTAAGCAGCTGCCGGTGCAGCAGAACCAGGACCAGCCGCTGTGCGGGCAGCCGGGACTCGCGAGCAGGGAGGGCGGCCTCCCGACCTAGGGGATTGAAACGCGGACCCCCATCTCCACGCCTCCAGAAGCATCGCCTTCAGAACCCCCGCCCGGGGACTAGAGGAGGCCCTGTTCCAAGTTGAGGCCGCGCTCCCCCACCTGGAGCCAAATCGCAGCCAGGCCCGGCGCCTCCCTGGAACCCTGCTCTTCTTCTTTTCTACCTGCTGGGGAGGCGCGATGCCCTGTATGATAAACACAGGCGACTCCAGTGAGAACACACAGCTGTTTACTCAGAGGTGCCCAGAGGAGTCGCCACCATCACTTGCATTTGGCAGGGACCCCAGGCAGACAGAGCAGTGGGAAACTCCCAGGTGGAAAGGGAAGGCTCCAGGAGCCCAGACTGGGGGCTGCTGGCACCGGGAAGCTGGAGGAGGACTAACTAGAGATGGACATCTTATGTGATTGGTTTAAGAAATGTATTTGGCTTTCTCTGCTTGGACCTGAGTTGGAAGGGGAGTATAGATGTGGGGAGGAAAAAAAAAAAAAGGAAGCTGGCAATCATTGACCCAAGTTCTGATGCCTGTTGCATTACTGGAATAAGGAGCCCAAAGTGGTGACTTAGGTATTTCAGCTTCCAGGTTAAAGGAGCCACAGTCAATGTAGATCCATTAATTCTGGACATCTTTCCTTCTTGGAAAGATTAACATGCAGGTTAACTGTTCAAAGCTCTTCCACTGGGGGAAATTCCCATAACCACTGTCCTTTGGAACCACCCCTAAATGGGGCTAGAGTGCTACAGTTGTCTACTTTGGGGAGGTACCAAGCATATCATACAGAACCATGTATAAACTGGTCCAAATAATCTCTTCCTCAGTCAGCTAGTCACATGGAACTCCCCATGAGGCCATAGGTGAGGACTGAGAGAGAAAAGGCAATGTAGAAAGAATACGGGTCATGGGACTCTTGCTTGTGGGACTTCCTTGCATCTTTAGGTCCTACATGGGCTCAGTTTCATCTACAGAACTTCTTGATGATGGAGAGCTCCTGTGCCCACCCAGCTTTATAGTTTGATTGGTCAGGCTACACCCAATTCATCATGGGTAGTCAATCACATATAGCTTGATGGCCTATCGTCAAGTATTCATTCATTCTCTACTAAGAGTCCTGAACAAGCCAGACACTGTTCCTCAAAGGAGAATAGTAATTCGCAGGGGATGACATAGCTATGCTCCAAGATCCCAAAGGTGTGTTCTGTGATTCACCTGACAAAGGCTCCATAGAGCATCACTATCTGTCACAGACACTCTGGGCATCTCAAATCTGTTGGGTCATATGGCACAAGTAGCAGGGCAGCTTGCCTGCAGCTCAGACCTGCTGCAGACCCTTCTCTCGCTCTGTGGGCACTCAAAACTGGCAGCCTTTAGGATAATTCAGAAAATGGGTCAAAGTAGCAGGCTCAAACGGGGTACACATTGTCTCAGACTCCAAGGAGGCGCACTAGGCTTGGTGCCTCTTTATCAGTAGGAGAAGGGAGCAGATGCAACAACTTGTATTTCACATTGGAAAGTACATGTCAACATGCCCCAGACACTGGACTCCTAGAAACGTTGCTACGGTGGCAGACCTCTGAAATGTTAAGGGGCTTATTTCCACCCACTGATATACATGAGTCTTACCGAGGTGTCTAGAATGGTTGCAACTTCCTGCTTACCATGTCCAAATCAGCAGCATACCATCAGCATCACAGTGGACCAGCATGATGTCTTGGGAAATGAAGAAATATCAGTCTCTGTGAAGGAAATAGTGACGGAGGGCTGTATCCCTGAGATAAGACAGGGAAGGTGAATTTCCGGTCTGGCCCGCTGGAAGCAAACTGCTTCTATTGGTCTTTACTAACATGAATAGATACTACAGCATTTACCAGTTGCATAGCTGCATACCACCTGCCCCAGAATGGGTCAATTTTCTCCAACAATGAAAAGCAGGAACAGCAGCTAAACTGAAGTGACCATCTCATTAAGTTGACTAAAATCCACTGTCCCCAAGATCCATCTGCCCTTTGCATAGACATAGTTAAGCAATCCTTTAAAGAGAAAGAAATTGGCACTGAGACCACACAACTAACAAATGACAGACCAGAATTCTGACTCCAAAGTCTAAGCCCAGGTCCTCACATCTTAACACCTCAGCGACTCTGTAATCACATCCAGTTGCCATCACAAATTGGACCTGCAGATTCATTACTAGGACTTAGTCTCAATTTTTGGTAAAGAAATTTTTAAAAATTCGTCCTCTCTCAAATATGAAATAAATTGCAAAATAGGTGCCCAAAATATGATCCAATCCTGCAATAATTGATCTCTGATGGAAGTTTAAATCGTGACTGGCTTTCTAGATGGCGGTTTTGTAACGAATCAACATCCTTTTTGTTTATTTTAACATCTTTATTGGAGTATAATTGCTTTACAATGGTGTGTTAGTTTCTGCTTTATAACAAAGTGAATCAGTTATACATATACATATGTTCCCATATCTCTTCCCTCTTGCGTCTCCCTCCCTCCCACCCTCCCTATCCCAACCCTCTAGGTGGTCACAAAGCACCGAGCTGATCTCCCTGTGCTATGCGGCTGTTTCCCACTAGCTATCTATTTTACGTTTGGTAGTGTATACATGTCCATGCCACTCTCTCACCCCGTCAAGGCTTACCCTTACCCCTCCCCATATCCTCAAGTCCATTCTCTAGTAGGTCTGTGTCTTTATTCCCGTCTTACCCCTAGGTTCTTCATGACACTTTTTTTTCTTAGATTCCATATATATGTGTTAGCATACGGTATTTGTCTTTCTCGGCAGCGATGGGCGCGAGCGGCGGGACTGCCGGGAGACCGAGTTGTACGTCGCCCTCCAGCCTCGCGCCCGTGTCCCCGCTTGGAGCCCCAGCTCCTGGGACTCGGGCCGCCGAGTCCGGCAGAGCTCTGGGAGGCGCTGAAGCGCTACGCGAGGCTTTGACAACGACAAGGTCACTTGCAAATTGCCCGCCGAGAGTGAAAAGAGCTTCAACTCTGTGGCCAAATTGCACAACGTGAGGAGCTTGGAGGAAACACGAACTGTTTCATCCCGTAGACCGTGCACCAAGGCGAAAAGCCACTGCGGGAGAGGATGTGGACCCGGCTAAGGCCCAGAATTCTGACAGTGATTCGCGACATTTTATGACCCGTTCCTGGCTGTTCCTCCGCAGATAACAGCCGGTCATCTAAAGCAACCTCACACAAACAGGGACCACTCGTCCCCTTCACGAACGGTGGAGAGACTTCAAAAGCGAGTCCTCAGCGGGAGAGAGCCGGCCTTCCAGCTGCAGGGCCCGTGCGCCTTCCTCTTCCGAAGCTAGTGAGTACCTCCCTCAGCATCGACATTCAAGTGAAGCAGAAGATACTCCAGCTCTGACAACCTGTTTATTGATAGGTTACAAAGGATCACAAGGTAAAAATCACTCAGAGGAAAACACAAGTACTGTACCTGTGGATAGGCCTTCATAGTGGAACTCAGAAGGAGCCTCATTCATGGAAGTGCTAGGAATTTGGGCCAAAAACCCAGCGCCCTCACCACAAAAACTTAAAACAAATGTATTCCCTTTTGTCATTATGCGAGAAGAGGGCCTCCTGTTTCCTCTGAAGAAGGAGGCACAAGGATAAGAAGCATCTTAATGGCATCACAGCAGCTGGACTTCTACCATGTCACTGTACACCTACATGGATGCTTTCCTAGAAGGATATTTGGCACTTCAGAAAGAGCAGAAACAGTTGTGAGGAGATGCAAGCCAAGATCCCAGGACAAAGATTAGCTGAAAGATCGAATATTAAAATGCATACCTATAATCCAGAGGGTAGACTTTGGGGGAAATACCAAGAAGTAAGGGATGAAGATGGTGATCAGTTCTCTGATGATGTATTCTGAAGACGGGCATTAGGATGATCTCCTAAATCTCTCACTGTTGAGATGTGGTTGTCTTATATCAGACTTTTTAACAAGTATCAAGACACCAGACACTTTTGAAGGCAAGAATTTTATAAAGTTACACTAAGGAAACTATTGAAAAAATGCCCAGTTCATCTGTCAGAAGATGACCTTCATGTGCTTGAATATTGTGTTTAACCACATTGTATTAAATTTTTGCACTGTATCATGCATTGGTCTGAGTACTGCTTATAATAGAGTACTTTCTTTTTTTTCTTTAAGCCAAATGAAAGCAAGTGAGTCCTTTTTGTCTTATTCGCATCTCTATCAGATATTACTTATTACCTGTCTTTCAGTGAGATACTTAGTTGTGCCAGGAGTCACCTAAAATGAATTAGAAAGATATAACATCCTTCTTTTTTGGATAAAGAAGTGAGCAGTCTAGAGAATTTTATGCATATTTGCAAGGGGTTATTGAGATATTGGATGTGAAGTACTTAGGAAAATACTCACAGGAAATGCTTAACAAATGTGTTTCCTCCTTCTGCCTTCCCTTAGGAAGAATGTTATCTTTCATCTTGTTTGGAA